ATTTAATCAAATTTAATAAAATCAACTGTTCATTGTTAGTTCATGTTAGCTCAGGTTCATTAAATAATAACAGATACAACTTTTGATTTTAATAATGCATTAATAAATGTTGAAATTAACATGAACTGAGATTAATAAATGATTTAGAAGTGTTTAGAAGTGACACTTCAGCTCCGTGATTAACGGATCACTGTTTGCTCACGAAAGCTCAGAGTGCAGATGTCACTCAGAGACTGTGACGATTGAGTTACAAGAGCAGCAAAGCCAGCTGAAGAACACACTGACACACTGCTTACAGCTCCCAAATACAGCAGAACGCAAGACATCTGAAGCACTGCATTGCTTTTAAAAAGTTCAAAAAGGGTAAATACGACTTTGATCTCACAATTCAGCTCACAATTTTTCCTTTGCAGTTGTGAGACTTGCAGTTCTCAAGATATAAATCACAATTCTGAGAAGAAAAGTCAGAATTGAGAAATATAAACTTTCTCAAATCAGAATTGTGAGAAATAAATGCAGAATTGCAAGGTATAAACTCACAATTCTGAGAAAAAAGTCTGAATTGTGAGATGTAGTTTTTATTCCATGGCAATTCCCCCCCAAAATTGCTTGATATAAACTCATGAATTCAGGGGAAAAAAGTCTTGCATGAAATGAAGTCAGAATTCTGAGTTTATATATCGCAATGCTTACTTATTGTCCTCAGAATTCTCAGATAAAAAGTTTATCTCAGAAGAAACAAGCTTCCATTAAAAAAAAGATGTGTGCCAACTATAACATGTATTTAGGAGTACATTGTGAATAAAAAGTAGGAGTTCTTAAGGTCAAGTCAAGTCAAGTCACCTTTATTTATATAGCGCTTTTAACAATACAGATTGTGTCAAAGCAACTGAACAGAGTCAGAATTGAGAAATATAAACTTTCTCAAATCAGAATTGTGAGAAATAAATGCAGAATTGCAAGGTATAAACTCACAATTCTGAGAAAAAAGTCTGAATTGTGAGATGTAGTTTTTATTCCATGGCAATTCCCCCCCAAAATTGCTTGATATAAACTCATGAATTCAGGGGAAAAAAGTCTTGCATGAAATGAAGTCAGAATTCTGAGTTTATATATCGCAATGCTTACTTATTGTCCTCAGAATTCTCAGATAAAAAGTTTATCTCAGAAGAAACAAGCTTCCATTAAAAAAAAGATGTGTGCCAACTATAACATGTATTTAGGAGTACATTGTGAATAAAAAGTAGGAGTTCTTAAGGTCTTAAATTCAATTTTTTAATTTAAGCCCATAAAAAGTCTTAAATAACGTAAGATGGTTAACAAAAAGTCTTAATTGTGATTTTAAGAGGGCTTAAATTTGAGGCCAGAAAACAGGAATTGCAGTATAGCCTAATGTGATTATTAAACTTCAAAAGGCCATGATTTAATGAAAAATGTGAGCGCTACGTGTTTCAAAAAAAAAAAAACGCTGTAAAGACAGAGGAGCATAAAGTTATAAAATTGCAGAAATAAATATTACAAAAACATCACAGACCTGTACAAATGGCAATTTAAAAATGAAAATGTCCTCTTGGTGGCACTGTAGGATCACTCTAAGTATTAGGGGAAAATTGTTAAAATTATGTCAAAATGTTCATGTTTAGATGAACTATCCCTTTAAGAACAAGCAGTTTTTCTTGCAAGTCCAAGATATTCCACATACACTGAACAAATGTGTTCATTTTCTGTGCAATAGTGCCTTGATTCATAATGACTGTATATATATATATATATATATATA